TCCCTCCCGTTTTGGTAATATCCTTGTGAACATCCTGCTGAACAGTCATCTGCAGGATATTTGGCAAATGTTGAGAATCTGGATAAAATCTAAAGTGTTTGGCATGACTTATAAGACCCTTCATGATTTAGAACTCTGCTGGGGTTTTTTCCCCCTTTGTTATCTCAGATTTGTACCTAATTCTCTAGCAATCTTTTCTCGACCTTTCTGTGTTATTTCTTTCCCCATTGCATGTCTTGTTCCATTGGCCTGGAATCTGCACCCATTAACCAGTTTAACTGTTGTGCTCCCAGGCCTCTTTGGAACCTTGGAGTGGCTCCCGCTCTCTGTGGTCTCTGCTCACCGTCTGGGCGATTGCACCTAAACACTCTTTATCATTGCCCGCTCCTCTCCTGTCCTGTGGTTAGGCCTGAGTGGTGTTTACTTTGGGGTCCCCGGTGCTTACTGATGGTATTAAAACATGTGAACCTTTTAGTTAGCATTTGAATCGAATCACTTTGAATTGGATTATAGCTCCTATGAACATGGGGTTCCTAACACATGCTAACTTGGCTAACTTCCTGCTAATGTGGCACGTGATTACAGAGATGTGCTGGCCAGTGGGAATGAGGTAGATTATGGGGGGCGGGTTAGTAGTTAGGTCTTGAATCTTCGAGTTTAAGGTGGTTAAGAGCTACAAGTGGCTGTGATTTGTACAGTGTTAAGAATGTGTGAGTCACCATGCTCTACTCTGCAAACAGGAATTGTGTTCGCCTCATCATATCCTTATTAGGCAGGAACAGTTACCGTCAGCTATTTGATATATGAGGAAACCAAAGGCACCTGTTAAGTAACATGTCTGAGCTTATAGGATGAATTAACGCTGGACTGACAAGTGACACCAGGAAGTTCAGGTCCAGAGTCATGTGTCTTGGTGGCAGTGCTGCAAAGGGGTTGAAGCTGGACAGCACCTGCGAGGCATCTCCCTGTAGCCTGCTGTCCCATAGCCTGGGCACCAGTTCGGGATGTGTGTGCATGGGTGTCCGGGGCCCCGTGGGAGACCTGGGTAGGGGACTCGGATCCCTCAGGAAGACCTACAGAGGACGTACACGCGCTTGCCTCACAGTCATGTGTCAGCACGTCCTGCACATTCTTGTTGACCTCCTGTGTTAGCCTGTCTGGATTTTAACTACTGAGAAGCACACACATTTCTCTTTCCTGTACTGTGTGGCCTGCATTGACCTGATGGTCAGAAATTCTCACGTAGTTGGACATTGTATCCTACAGGCCTGTCTTTGAGGGGCGTGTGCCCTTCTCTGAGAGGCGAGGGACACAGAGGTGACAACGTGGCAGAGACTCGGGACGCACGCAGCTGCTGGTCCTCCTGGCTTGAGTCTGGGAGGAGTGTGGCCCGTGTTCCGCGGACCTGTGGCCCCGCGCTACACACCCCAACCTGCCGCGTGTTAGAGCATCTCCCGTGCTGCGGCTCTAGGTTTCTGTTTCACGTCCCGTTCCTCAGACTCATGATGCTGTCTTGTTTACTTAAATAGATCAGTCAGATAGTCTTTCATGACTCTCAAGTGGAAATAATTCTGCGGTGATTCGACCTAAGGGACCGAAGGAAGAGGTTGTGAGTAGGTCGATGTATCGTGTAGGAGAAATCAGTTTAAAATTAGAAGCTAAAGTAAGAAATATTTGTACAGAAAAGTAGAAATCTATAGCTAGGATGTAAATGTTATTACTGTGCTGCTCTTTTGACATCAAATACAATTTTAAGTGATGCTATTTCAGGCAATTATAGATACTTAGAAATCAATCATATTTAGAAAACTCTTTTTATTATTTCAACATGTTCCTTCAGATTGCCAGGCATTTGCAGGTGGACAGCCCCGGTGAGCGTATTCTGGCGTGGACCTCGCCTGCCCGTGACCTCCAGGCCACCCGGCTCCCCTCCTGTTGGGTGCCTCCCAGAGTCCTCGCGCGACCCCTGCCCCTCCCTCAGTCTCCCCTGCACCCAGCAGCTGGGAATCCATCAGGCTGGGGGGCCAGGTGTGTCCTGCCCATGTTCAGAATGGGCTTCCTCCCTCCCTGGAGCACGAGCCTGGGCTGTTTGGCCTGTGAGGCTGCTGCTCTCAGGCACCGCCTGCCCTCCCCCCCCCCCCCCCCCCCCCCCCCCCCCCCCCCCCCCCCCCCCCCCCCCCCCCCCCCCCCCCCCCCCCCCCCCCCCCCCCGCCCTCCCCTTTGGAAGCAGGCCTCACACTAGGCTCATTCTCAGCTGTGCTGGCTGCCCTCCCTTCTGAGGCCTGCTGTTCCCTGCTCCACCCCCGCCAGGCCCTTGGCCCCTTCCCTCACAAGCCACACTCTGGAGCCTCCAAGGTGGAATTTTAATTCTGTGTTGACATTTCAGATCTTCCTTCTTTTTTTGGTTTATCCCCTTACCGCTATGTAAGATGCATGTTCTTGTTCCTTTCCCTCACTAGTGTTTCCATTTTCCAAGGCAGGACTTGTAAGTGTTGTGTGTGCACCGCATCTGTCTAGAACTGCTCCTTACCGCGCACAGGACTCGCCGCCTGCCCGCGGGACTAGCGTGTCGCGCGGGGGTGCTGGGCGCAGCTGCATCCCGTCGAGTGGCTACAGGTGGTGGAATGAACGCTCCGTGAAGGCACAGCTCCGCCTGATGTGACATGTTAGTGACCCACACTGGACGTGATCAGTAAATGTGGGGAAACATGGTGAACGTAGAAAGGCAGAAGTAGTCATGAGGAAGAAGGCATTTCAGTTCTACCGCTTTTCAAACTTGTGACTGTTTTTGTTTTATTTCTGGTGGTATCTAGATTTTAAACTTTCCAAAGCCGTTAATATGGTAAAAATATTAACGCAGTGCTCTGAGGAGGGCAGTGAAAGATAGATGGCATTCAGTAATCACAAATTGCCGGCAGTGTTTTGTTCATGTAGGTGGGTAAGATTATTTTAGCCGTGCTTGAGTTAAATTTTTCAATTGAGGATGATGTTGAGACTTGGATGCTACTTGTACTTTGTATAGGCCAAATTTAAAGACTTTATACTTCAAGTCAGATTTCAGGTGAAAGGACATTTTGCATTTGACTGTAATTGAGCTATATTTTAGTATGATAAATTTTTCCTGTGATAAAAAATTGTTACTCCTACAAAGATTTAGTGTTACAGACATTCAGCAGAATTACATAAAGGCTTTCCCTTCCTGTGTACTTCACGTTGCTCCCCTGTGCAGTGTAATATTTTTGTTTCCAGTCTTAAAAGTTAAACGTTTTAATTAATTTTTTTTCCCCTTTAAAAACTGTACTCTGGTTCTAAGCTCATGTCTCTTAAATTATACTTGGTCATGTAAATAAGCTGTGCTTTGCAACTTTGGGTTCTTAACCTTTGCTCTTTGCTATTAGCTTTATGTTTTTTTAATTATAGGAAAATAGAGGACAGTAGGGAAGTTATGCCTTAAGTGGACTGTTGTTATTACTGCGTTCTTTTTCAGAGAAATGAAAAATGTTATTTATTTTGTCCAAATCAAGCAGAAACAAATATAGAATATTTTGTACTGTTATTCTTGCTAAGCATTTAATATCATCACTCTTTGATTCTTTACATGTAATCATTTTCCCATTTTAATGATGGATAGCTCGATCAGTTATTTATAGTTGTAAAGCATGTATTGTCCATAGCTATTACCTAATATATAAAACTGAATGCGTGTCATTTTCCGTGTATACACATACATTATTTGAATAATGAAGCCACAGTAATTTAAAAAAATACAAATACATTATTTTAGCCTCAAAACTGAGGTTCCCTAGCATTATAGAAAAACAACCAAAATAGTCCAGAAATGAAAAACAAACAAAAGAGGCATTCACAGTTTTAGAAATGGTTTTAGTCTTAGCTTTGGACACGTCTCCTCCAGGCCACAGTACTTTACAGTCTTAGGCTGCCCGTTTGTGCAGACATGTCCAGATGAATTCGGTGTTTAATGTAAGAATCTTATAACATGCCAATTTGATTTGTAGCCCTTCATATCATAGGACGCTAATTAAAATCATATTTTTGCATATGTCGTGGCTTTCATGTACATATGCAAATAGATTCTGTTGCCTTTTAGCTATTGGTAATTAACTTTATGAAGGACAGCTGTAATACATAATTAACAAAAATGTTTGCAAGCCCTTTTACACTGGAAGTTATAACATTAAATTTCTTTTTTTTTTTATCAAGAGAACCATTTTACTCTGATGCTTCTGAATAAGATCTAAATTGTTTTAAATAATCACATGATGTAATTAAATTGATGTTGTGCTGTATTCTGAAGGAGATTACTGGTGTTCCATGGACTGAGTGCTGAATCCTGTCCATTTCATATTTATGTCATCAGATTGAATTAAGTAAGCTGATTTGTGTATAAAATAAGATAGTGTGTCAGGTAATACTTTTCGTTTGTTTTAGTTATTGACAGCTTCTTGGCATTTAAGCACTTTTTTTTTTTTTTGTATGTGGCACAGACACAATAAACATTTATAACATTTTTAAAAACCTCTTTTCAAATTATTACCATGTTTTCCAGGAAGCTTCATGGAAGCTATTCATTTTCTCTTTTATAGTCCCTTAAATATTTAATAAAGTGACATTTTCTCAAACTCATTTCGTGATTGAAGTGTGGGATCAACTAGGGGGCAGTGAATGTTATGTTGAGGTATTGCTTTATCTTTCTTCTGATGGTGCAGACAGTGACTAAGCTGCAGTCATTGTTTTTATCCCTGTTTGCACACTGAAGTAAGAAAACAAACCAGTTATTTTAAATTCACTTACTTCTCCGGTGTTCGGATATCACAGTACATTTGGTCTGTACGCAAGCGTCTTGTTTACCAAGAATGCCATTGTAATATGCACATCCCTGTCACATCTGTGTATCATGCCTGTTTTTAAATACTTTCTGGACATAGTTTTAGCAGAGAGTTATGTTTTAGTTCTATAATTATTGTTATTTCTTTCTTTAGGGTTGCTTTTGTAATGAAGAAACACTTAAATACGCATCTGCTAGGCAAACATGGAGTTGGCACGCCCAAAGAAAGGTAATTTTCGTTCATTTTTTTAAAAATTTAACAAATAACAATTATATTTTCATTTCAGGCTTCGTTTAATGAAATGACTTCTAGAATTTTTATCAAATCAGTTTATCATGTTTTGCATTTTTAGTACTCTGTTGTCTAATATTATCTTTTATGTCATTCTCCCCCAAAATTTAATGTCATTTTAATTTTAAAAATTCTAATCTAAAAATATTTGAAAGGATTTGAGGGACTTTGAATTTGTGAATTAATCTTCAAACAGTGGAAAAGTTGAATTAGAGGGGATGACCTCTGCACATATGTTTGAATGGGCTAAAATAAGTATGTAAAAGTAATCTGGGTCTATTTGTTCCTGTATTTTTATTTTGAGGTTTTAAAATAATATTTTTGAATTCTTACTGTAATTAAATTTTGCTGATACTAAAAAAGAAATACATCTTGTGTCATCCCCAAAATAATACTATAGTTGCCATGTCATGAAAAATAACACTACAATTATTATGTCATCAACTGCCAGGCTTTCTTTTCTCTTGCCACCATGTCATAATTAGCTTCAGCACATAGACTTAATTATATTAGGTGAGCAGAAATATAACAATGTCAGCTATCAGGTGAGTTTGGCTACTTCTGAAATTTTTAAATCTGTAAAATGTACAGATCACCCAGAGCTGGTAAAACCCTCTCTTCTTCCTTCAAACACACAGTAGATTGTCCCCAAACCCTCCAAGATGGCATCTCAAATGCTATGGATGGTCCCGGAAACTTCTGGTTTTTTAATACTTTTTTAAGATGTCAGTAAAGATGCAGATTGTTCCGTAGCCCAGGACCTCCCAGGACCTCTTCCTCACTTGTGTATGTTTAATTGCCTCTTTAAAATATTTACAACGGCCCCTACGAATATTAAACATTTACAGTGGCCCCTACGAACATTTTCTGTGTTTATCGGCAGCTTACCCTGACTGTTCTGTTGAAGGCATATTGTTTTCTTAGCACTTCAGTTTGGACATGACTTACTGCGTCAAAATATGGAGTGTGCGCGTGCCTCCTTTTTTTATCTTTGGGTTTCTGGTACTTCTGTTTGTAGCATTGGATCTAATTTGAGCCTACCTGTATGTGTTGAACATATCCTGATGCATTATTCTTGAAATTCAAACAATTCTATATTATTTAAATTAAAATTTAGGACTTGTCAGTGTTCTGTTTCTTGAGTTTAAAAGGTGGAAACAAAACATTTGTAAGTACTATGTTTTTGTTGCTTTTACATGCATCATCTCATGTTATTAGCAGTGTATTATTATTCCAGTTTTATAGATTTAAGGACTGAGATTCAGGAATATGCAATCATTTGTTCTATATGTTATAATTGTTATTTTTCTGACTCTAATCTCATTGTTCTTCCTTGTACTAATTATCTCACATTGAGAATCTTTACATACAGGTACTTGGGCTGTTTTGTTCACAGAATAAATTATGAATGATGAAAACAGTCTACATCAGATAATTAGTAAAAAGAAAATATCCCCTACCATATAACTAGTATATGTTTTGAACTCAAATGATATCATTTTGCCTTTTATTTAGGAATTTTAAAGGGTTAAATAGTCTTCATATTGTATCATATTAATGAAAACTTCAGCACCTTACACATCTTCATATCCTGGAAGCACCTGAGAGCAGTAGAAACCTCCTATGTATCATGACAGGAAATTGAAGAGCCAGGTGTACTGTTTGGTTTTCCATTTACCTGACGTGATTTCGTCGCAGAATGAATCTCAGGTGGGAAAGCATGTCCTCCTTCAGGGTCTTGACCCCTCCCCCCGGCTAGGCCAGGGTGCAGGGGTCCGCTCAGCTGCACGTCCTCCATTGAATTGCTCTTTCTATTAAGACATCTGTATTTCACAACACTTGTTGTTTATGGTAAGTGTTTATGGGTGCTCCCTCTCACTGTGGAAATACGATGTAGGAAAGCCAGGGCCCCAGCAGCGGCGTCAGTTTCCAGTCGCTGGGGAGAGTCCTGTGTAAGTAGCAGAATCTAGCATGGTCAGTGCCAAAGGGCTCTCTTCTTCCATTCCACCTTCCTCCCTGCCTTAGAGAGGGAATTGATGGCTTTTAATGGTTTTGGAAACAAAGAAACTCTTTATCAGCATGCTGAACCCTCACTTTGGGCATTACTGTTCTTGAAATTAAGTTAAACCTTTTTTTTCTTACCTATTTAAAACATTAATGCCTTAGCTATAATTTTGCAAGCTTGCTATATTTTAATTTTTTCAGGACAAAATAATCAGCTTACTTTTTTATGTTTTAAATTTGATTCTCCCCTCTTTGCATTGCATATTATAGCAAATAGTAATAGAAGTTAGCCAAATAGGCCGTGACAATTAAATTAATAATGCATTTTGTTTGCAAGTATTTAGGCCTTGTGCTTTGACTGATGTATGCAAAAATGATAATTTATTACCAATAAATTCATATACTTGCACTGTAGTCTGATGAACCAGTAAATTTTGTCAGCATGACTGTCATTAGCAACAGAAATGTAGATAATTTCAAATAACATGTGTTTTGACTTCATGAATACCTGAAGTGACGGCTTGTGCAAGAACATAATTTTTTGTCCCTAAATTTACATGAACTTATTTTAAGGTAGTACATTACTGTATTTCTGAAGTCTCATACACTTAAATATAAAGAACTAAATATAGCTACCTCCAATTCACGTTCCAAAATAATAAACTCCAATTAATTTGCAAATTTATTCTAAAATATTTCCTATTTTAAATAGGTGATTCTGTTTGTAATATAGTAAGCCAAAGTATCTTTATGACACTTTGAATTTGCTAATAGTAATCTAGAAAACAAGCCCGTGCACAATTACCACAATGAAAACAGCCATAATAAGTTTATCTCTTGTTGAAGCGAGGTGCCCATTACCATAGAAGGAGATGACCTTCCCAGTTCACTGCTTAGAAGTCAGCTGGGCATCGAGTGACTGGGTATGTGTAGGAGGAGGAGAATGGCTCACTGGGAATCCCTGAATTTGTGATGTCCGGGCACCATAGCCTCTCAGGGAGGCTCTTATGCTCCTCAACTACTGTTACCTAGAGGATTTTAAATTGGGTCTGTGCATTGGAGAGTCTAAGAGCTAAATAATTTCATTATTAGCTGTGTACCTATTTTTTCAATTTATTAATATCTAGATGACGACCTTAGTATTTCTTAAGTGAAGCAGGTTTGGAGGCCTCTTCTCAGTTTCTGAGTCCCTGATGGAACATTATTGTCACCATGGCCGTGGGGAGTGTTTAGACCCTTGTGGGGAGGGCAGGCTCAGGGCTGATTGGTGCTTTTGTTTAGGTGAGTGGGTTCCCCCCAGGCCTCCCTCAGATTCCCAAGCTCTGAGAGCTATGCTGGCCCTGTCCCCTTTTGTCAGGCTCTGGGGACTGTGGTTAACCATCTTGCTTTTAATGGTAGCTTTGCTCTTACTGATAAGTAAAATCTTTACCCCACACTTTTATACATGCCAGGTGTTACCTAGACTAAACTGTGGGATAGAAATACTCGCAGCTCTGATACTTGGTTCTAATTTGGTATAAGGCACTGTGACCAGACGTGACATTGTGTAGGCCTTTGGGGTCTACCTTGTCTCCTTTTCTTTCTCTTTTTTTCTCAGAAACTTTTATATGTATATATTAAAATTTTATGAAAGCATCAGTTTCCTGCTTTTCAGTTTAAGATGGAAACATCCCCCTTTTTTTGAAATATAAAAGTATCCCAAACCCAAACATTCCTAGAAAAAGCATATATACATTCCCAGTGAGTTGTCTTTGCAGATTTGCTAGCAGTAGTTTGAGTTGATTAGAAACTTAAGTTGCTTTTAAATGAGAGAATAATGCACTTTTCTAAAAACTCTGGAAGATATGTATTTAAACAGACTCAGATGTTTCCTATCAGAAGAGTATGAGACTAAATTCGTTATTGTCGCTTGATTGTCCGTTTAAAGAAGTTACCTTGGGCTGAGTTGGCACGTATTTCTTTAGTGAAGAACCAGAGTCTTCCTCAGTGTTTATATCTCTTGATTTTCGGTGGGGTAAATACTGTTTTCTGTCACTGAAATGGGTAGCTTATTCTCATGGATACATGGAAACACTTTACTTCATGCCCTATGGCCATCATATGATCTGCATGGAGTGTTCTTTGTACAACCTGTAGGTCACTGTATGATTGATGCCTGGCTCGCCCTCCTTCCAGCCCCACTGCTTCTTGGCTTCCCCTCCCGTTTCTTCTCTTATTCAAATGGTTAGTAGAATTTTTTCCTCCCTCCCTCCCTCCCTCCTTCCCATCCCTTCCCGTCCCGTCCCGTCCCGTCCCTTCCCGTCCCTTCCCGTCCCTTCCCGTCCCTTCCC